GCCGTAAGGTCTTGCTCAGATTGCTCATTTAGTTTGATCAAAACTTGAAAACCAGCAAACAGTCCTATTCTAAAACCAAAAAAGTGTTCTACATATCTGGAGAGTCCATAACAAGTTTGAAAAGGCAGCCACATTCCCCTGATGATAATTACATTAACTGATAAACACATGAGCAGAATTCTGCCAGCACGGTTTCTACAAAGCAGAAGCTAAGACAGATCTCACTACCTGACTGGTACTGACTGACGATCCAAGGGTCCGGCGCACTGAGCTGACGCCTCAGTGTGGTCGAACACTACTGCTGCTGCTGCTAATTCACTGACATCTCCTCAGACACAGCACCTGAGGAAAGTTCTTTCTGTAAAGTTGGATAATTGACAGCCATCGAGTGGGCAAAAGAAGTCTGAGGCTGAATCTGCTACTGACGTATTATACTGAGGTTTCACAAAGTCACTTCAAGGCTGGTTAACAATCTCAGAGAGCTACTGTAGCGTGCTTCCTGTGTGTTCTACAGTGGGTATGCTTTACTTTGCAGCCCAGATCACTTAATTAGGCTGAAGATGAAAAGCAAGCGGATGAAAAATGGCACCAGATGTGTCAATATAATAGAGTGGAGCTTAATGCTGTTCATTAGCAGCACCACTTCCACCCCCAACTACATCTCCTTACCATCAGAAAAACTGGAAACCACAATGGAACCGCAAACTGAGGGCAACACTGACATTTCAGTGAATAGCTGCCCAGCCCACACTGGCATGGCCATTATAGTAGACAAAACAAGCTGGGAGGAGGAGCGGTTTAACAGTTAGCTCTTGAGATTTAAAGGCTCAAGGCACAAGTGTACATTTGTTCCATGGCTGCAAGTGATTGCTGAAATGCATATCAATGTCTGGGACGGGGACGACGTCACGATAATATGCTGTTGTAGCTCGCTTCTCTATACAGTGCAGAAACTCTCTGAGAGACAGAGCAGAAGCTTGAAAACACGATTGGAATTGGTGACTCATTTGCTGTTTCTCACCAGCCTACAATCACACCCACTCAGCAAGAACGCTGAAGCACAGACACAGTCGCGAGCTCCATGCTCCCACCACGAGGATGCTCTTGATGTGCTACAGTTGCAGCTCTGCACAGCTTCTTCTGACGCTCGCTGCATCGCTCTTTCTCACATTTCAACCACCGCCTCACATCTACAGTAGAGGTTCTAAACAGAAAATGAAAAAAA